CGAGCCCCCGATGGGGACGACTGGGCTGGCTCTGTGGGCTTCTGGGGGTGGAAGCTCTCCTGCAGCCCCCTGATTGCCCCCTCTCCCCAGATGGCAGCCTGCGGCAAGTGCAGCCGGGCTGATGGCCGAGTGCTGTGATGTGCCCAGTGTGGGTACTCCGGGCACTCCAAGCCAGAACTTCTTTGCAAGCGGGGCACCCCTGAGAACTGTGTGTCCGAGGTGGGGGTCGGGACCCTTTAAGCACAGCCCTCGGCTAGCCTGAGACAGCATCTCCATGCTCTAAGTCCTCCTCTTATGCCCTGCCGGCACTGCTTCCGGCCATCCTTAAGCCCTGTTCAGAGTCCACTCAATGTGGACTTGCTAGTTCGAATTAGCAAAATGCTAATTCGAACTAGTTTTTAGTTCTAGACGCGTTAGTTCGAATTAGCTTAGTTCGAATTAACTAATTCGAACTAAGTTAGTTCGAACTAACGCTGTAGTGTAGACGTACCCTAACTTAAGTCCCATGCAGTTCACTGTCAAGATCCCATAGTATTGATCATGTGAATGGAAGTTTATTCCAGGGTCTCTGTTCAAAACTTTTTCTTCCCTGTACTATTCATCATGTAGCATAGGTCAGTGGTTCTCAAACTTTCCAGTCTTCTGTTCCCCTTTCAGGATTCTTATTTGCCTTGTGTATCCCCAAGTGTCACCTCGTTTAAAAACTACTTGCTTACATAATCAGACATAAAAATACAAAAAGTGTCACAGCATACTATTATTGAAAAATTGTTTGTTTTCTCATTTTTATCAGATAATTATAAAGTTGATTGGAATATAAATAAATATTGTACTTACATTTCAGTTTATAGCATATGGAACAATATAAACAAGTCATTGTCTGTATGAAATTTTAGTTTGCACTGACTTGATTAGTGCTGTTTATGTAGCCTATTGTAAAACAGTACAGATATCTAGATGAGTTGATTTACCCCAGGGAAGACCTCTTGCATACCCCCAGAGGTAAATGTACCCCGGCTAAGGATCGTTGGCAAAATGACTGTGTTTTAGTAGTGATATTGTATGTAGATGGATTCTTTAGATGAAAGGTTCATTATAAATGTAACCACTTCTGAAAATTGAATTTTCCCCTATTTACCCACTGAGAAAAACATCACAATATGAAAGTAAGGCTGTTCAAACTATGATGCTCCTGTACTGTTAGACCATTGGGATTTTTCTTTAAATGTTCAACTTCTCGTTATATTGCATGAAGATGAATCTTGAGAGAGAGAAACTTCACAGAAAAAATTGGTTTACAAGGCAATATAAAATATCTATTGCATAATCTTATTCGTAGGTTATAGTGGTGCATGCTGAATTATGTAGCCATTGAGGGTAGAAAATATTAAATGTTAGAATAGGGGCTAAGATGTTTTTTCAGCATATTGCAAAGAATTCACCCATACATTCAGGATACATAATAGGGATGTAAAATTTCGATTATTTGGCTAATCGAATAGTCGATGCAATTTGCATCGATTAGTTGATAAGGGCGCTTCTGCCTTTGAAGTGTAGCAACATCTCAAGCAGTCCCCCGCAGGTCCCCTGCTCCTCATGGCGTTTCAAAGCAGTAGCACTGCATGGAGTTCGGGCTCTGGGTCTGGCCCCAGGCTCCATGCAGCACTGCTGCTTTGAAGCACCCACTCCTTTTTGCCTCCCCTTGCTTCCTCTCTCTGATAGAGGCAGCAAGTGTGGGGAAACAACTAGTCTCATTCGGAGTGTCAACTAGTTGTTCTCATCCCTAATACATAAACCTAAAAAGTGTGGTTACATGGACCCTTGTTTAAGCAAAGACACTGTGCTCAAACATAAGACACGATCTCATCCCTAATGAGTTTACAGTTTAGCTTAGATGCATGCGGCACAATAGATGATAGTACAAATTCAGGCTGGTGCAGAAATCTTGTAGAGTTATTGAAAGATTTTGTAGAAGTGTATGCGTAAGGGGGCAAGTGAAGTTGCTTGGTGAATTCAAGGTGCCTTGCTTACAAGCTGAAGGTATGGTAGGAAAGGAGGCATGAAGCCAAGTGGGAAAGTGTGTTGGGGGGGATGAGCAAAATGAAGAGCTATGTAGGAGGGGCTTTGAAGGGTCCAGTTTTTTCACATTACATAATTATGCAGATAAAGCCTACTTCTGTATTTCTAGTGCACAGTATGCTTATGTTCCCTGCCAGCTCTATCAGCCTCTCTGTTGCTTGTACTACTACACTTATGTCTTCAAAGTAGGTGCACAGAGGGCCGACAAAATACAGGACTATGTAGCACTTTAAAGACTAACAAGATGGTTTATTAGATGATGAGCTTTCATGGGCCAGACCCATTTCCTCAGATCAAATAGGGCCGACATACAGCTCTGTATGTAAAAGAGGAAAGAAATATTTGCCAGATGGTGTTTTCTGGTGTTCTAGCTCTCGTACCATTAGACCAAAAGCTTTTCATGGCAAAGACCTATTATCATACCGCTCATCTAGATATTTGTCTAATTTTATAACAGGCTACATAAAAAGCACTAGACATAAAAATTTCATACTTTTTTTATACTGCTCTATATATTACTATACACTGAAACTAAGTGTAATATTTATATTCCAGTTTATTTTATAGTTATACGGTAAAAATGAGAAAGTAAGCAATTACTCAGTAAAGTAATTACTTTTGCCTTTTTATGTCCGATTTTTTTTAAACAAGTAGTTTTTAAGTGAGGTGAAACTTAGGGGCACACAAGAAACATTAGATTTCCTAAAGGGGTACAGTAGTTTGGAAAAGTTGAGAGCCACTGTTCTAGGTGGTTGCATTAAATTTGACAATATGGTAATAAAGTCTAGTTATGAAGTCTGTTCTCTGAAACTGAGAGTCAAAGTTTCCTTAACAATATTGTTACAAGTTTGGACTTGACCTTTTGTTGCCATTACTGTAATGGAAATATCCCTGTGCTGTTTTTGGTTGCTAATTTAAATTGCATTTGGAAAGTTATTTGATATTGTGGAGCTGTATTTGACTCTGGAATAACTCTGTGGAGGAAGCTATAAAATATACAGGAGTATATTATATTTAATTACATCTCCATAATACACAGCACTTTTAGCAGCTGCAAGTTGTCATCCCTTGATACACATTTTAAAATCCTATAAGGAACCCAGATGCTCCAGCAATAGGCTTCTAGAAAATCTATACATAAATCAGTCAAGGCCAAAAAGGACCACCAGATCATCTGGTCTGAGCTCCTATATATCACAAGCCATCAACACTACCCAGCCACCCCCATACCAAGCCAAACAGAACTAGACCCAAATATTACAGTCCTCAGAACACTAAGTTGCACTACTGCCTGAGGCCCCTGCAATGACAGGGAATTTAGTGAGATTCATGCTTATGTCCCTAGCAAGTGACCTGTGCCCCGTGCTGCAAAGGAAAGAGGTGCCCATCCCAGATCCCAGCCAATCTGATGTGGGTGGAAATTCCTTCCTGACTCCAGATAGGATCTAGCTTGGGGTCTGAGCATATAAAAAAGAAAGAAGCATCTGTCTCCCAAACCTCCCGTCCAGCATCCAGTCTCCAGCTGTGAAGATGTAGAGTTCATGTAACATAAAACAGAAAATTTAGAATGCAGTTGTTCAGCTGCAGTTTTTGTGAAATCCAATATGGAAGAATTATCTTGGAAGTTCTGTTCCAACTTACCCTAGATACAATTCTTGAAATGTTGTATCCTTCTCTGAAGCACAGCAGGTATGTATGATTCATACAGTTCTTCATAAGCATGAGACAAGTAGAGCTACAACCAAGTGTACATCTCTCAATTAGAGAGATTAAGTGGATGAGGTAATATCTTTTATTGGCTAAACTTCTGTTTGTGTATTAGACAAGTTTTTAAGCTCTACTACCTGAGCATCACAACTAAATGCAAGGTAGAACAGATTATTTTGCATAAATGGCATATAGTCTAAGAAACCATTCTGGGAGCCAGAGTGTCCCAGATTTAGGAGGTTCAATGTGTAGAAAGTTGTCTCAACACACCTCACCTTGGGTAGTGTCTGGGAATGCCACAACCTCATAGGAGTGCCTCTACCTCCACTTGGAGCACACTTCACCGGGGCACAGGCCTCTTCCACAGTGTTCGTGATTCAGAGCCCTACTCAAGAAATCTGCAGACCAATGACTTTGTTGTACATAATGCAATCACCTGTCAGGCTAGGGATGATACAACATTCGGATGGACAGTACTGCAATCAGTGCAAGACTCCGACCCCGTCATCTGAACTTGGACTTGTAAATCATCTCATTTGAATGCACATGAATAAACACTTAAGAATAAAAAATGGTTACTTGCCCTCTTGTAACTGTTGTTCTTTGAGGTGTGGCTTTCATGTCCATTTCAGTACCCACTAGCCCCCCTCAAATCCCTCTGTTGGAGTAGCCAGCAAGAAGAAACTGGGGAGGAGGTGTATCTGCAGGGCTCTAAATTGGGTACCAGGAGCACAGGACTCCTGGATGTGTCCAAACCAACCCTATGGTTAGGTACTGGAGGAGAACAATCTTCCAGATACCATGCACATAACAACAGTTCCGAGAAGGCGAATAATTTTTTCCCCCAATCCTATAATCCTGTGTCTTTTTTTTCTGAATACTCTCTTGTTTTTCTATCGCCTTCTTGAATTGTGAGCAGCATAACTGGACAGTCCTCTTTTGTAAGGGTAATGGTGAACTTGACTCCCCTGTCATCAGTACTGGAATTCAGTAGCGTTTTCTGAAACATTTCAGTGTCAAATTGTTCTGTAGCTCTGGTCTTCATTCTTGACAGTTTCTGAGGCATACCAGTCCCCTATCTTTGTATTCTCAGGAAATTGCACTGCCTTACCTCAACATGAACTTGGTCTTGGAACTTTGGGGATTTCTTATTTCTAAAAACATTACTTTTTTTTTATCTTCTCCCACTAACCCCAACTCCTTAGGATGGTACCCGACCCCCTTTGGATGTTGATGTAAACCTTGAAGAAATTGCTTATGATCGTCGTTGTGATTGTTATACGTGAGTGTCTTCTATTTTTAGTTCTAATGCATGCAGTGAGAAATGTTCTTCTCATGTTAATGTATTTTATGTTTATTATTAACAGGAACATTGGATTCATGGGTGGCCAGTATGGTAGGCGGGGGAAGACATTGCCTTCCCAAACCACCAGCCTGACCCTGCCCACACTCCGCCCCCAGAACGTCTACTGTAAGCGTTCTGAGAGCAGAGTGTTGCTGTCCCGTTCCCCCCTCCCTCATACTCCTCGCTGGCTGGAGTCCTGTGCCCTCCTGGATCCCCATGATCCAGGGTCAGGGAGGATGGGGCTGCGCACTCCCTTCCCTCCCTGTGCTGGGAGGCAAGAGCTGTTTGCCCTCCTTCCTCCCTGTAGTGGGCAGAAGAGATGGGGGTGGGGGCATGCCTCCCCCAATCTTACCTTCACCAGCCGCCCGTGGTTGGATTTCCTGACTCTCAGGGCTCAAATGCCTTTCCTTCTGTGTTCATCACTTACACTTGACATTTTTCCAGGGACTTAACTAAAACATTAGATGGTACAGATTTCCTCCTCTTACATGATAATCCAGTGATGCCTAGATTATCACTAGATAATCTAGTGGGGGGAGGGATAGCTCAGTGGTTTGAGCATTGGCCTGCTAAACCCAGGGTTGTGAGTTCAATCCTTGTGGAGGCCATTTGGGGCAAAAATTTGTCAGGGATGGTACTTGGTCCTGCTGTGAAGGCAGGAGACTGGACTCAATGACCCTTCAAGGTCTCTTCCAGTTCTAGGAGATAGGCAATCTCCATTATATTTACTGTAGCTTAGCAAAGGCCACTGTGTCCTTTTTTCTTTGCCTTGTCTCTACTTCTGTTATATTTACATGGAACTACAGATACGAATTGTAAACTGGATTCTCAATTAAAAGTGGGTAGGCAAAGAAGGCATGCATAGTTTGTTCTCAGGTCTCAGAAATGAGTAAAGATTGTTTTGTATTTGACAGAGTATTGAAGGCATGTTTTATCCTGAGGAGCTTTCGTGTAGCACAGGTGTCCAAAGTATGGGTTTGGTACAATTTCATAACCACTTTTTTAAGTCCTTTTCAAACCCATAGCACTGCAAAACTCCTCAAAGCTGTAAACTGATAGCTGTGTTTGATTAGTTAACCTTAAGTATTTTATGAGGGGATCATTGTTCCCTTAAAGACTTTGCCCTCTTAATCTCTGGACAGTGCAATAAAAATAATTTTCAATGTAAATAAATTAAGATGATTGTTGTTTTGGATAATAATAATAATTATTACTGTAGTGCCTGGGAGCCCTAGTCATGGGGCAGGATCCCATTGTTCTAGACACTGCAGAAACAGCAAACAAAAACATGGTCCCTGTCATAAAAATGTTACTTTCTAAGTATAAGATGAGGCAACATGTGAAGACAAACAGATGAGACAGTCCAAAGAAACAGGAGGGTGGTATTGGCCTATAAAATAGGAAGTGATATCAGTGAATTGGTAGACTGTTTTTGTAGACATCACAGCAATGAACAGTTTTAAGGAGGGAGTTGAAAGATAATGAGGTAACTTGGCAGATATTTGAGGCGCTCCATCGAAGCATGAGGGGCATCACGGGAGTGCACGTGACAGTGGTTGATGGCAGATTTAACAGTTGGGCAAAGAAAGCTGGCATCATCTCAGTGAATGAGAGATGATAGGTGGAATGGAGACAGCGAAAGGCCTTGGAAGTAAAGACAAGCAGCGCGTATTGGATGCAAGGGAAGGGGGAATCAGTGGAAGGATGTGTTGAGGGGGATGATGTGGTCGAAGTGAGCTCTGCCGCAGCATTGTGAACGGGTATCACTGTGACAAGACCGCATTTGTGAAAGCCGATGGAAAAGGATATTCCATTATTCAAGATGTGAGATGATGGAATCCTGGACAAAGAGTTCAGGGATGAGAAACTTACCAGACCCTTTCTAGCAGTAAAACTAATAAGATGGATAACTATATACATAAAAAATGATGGTGCAGTGTGCTTCTGTTACAACTTGGCTCAGTCTCCCTCTCTGGATGGACTGCTGTAATTTGTTCTAGTCCTCAGCTCATGTACTATAAACCCCTTTAGGACTGCGTCATTACTAAGCTCTGGATCTCTCAGCACACTCCCTAGTGCAGTCTTATGTCTGCTGCCTTTCTTGGGCAGTGGGACCCAGCAGTTCGGCTGCCTGGGCCCCCAAACTAGTGCCACAGTCTTCTGAACCCATGTTGCTTAGACATGTTCTCCACCGGGCTGTGAGAGCTCTGGAATCTTAGGTCAGTCCTTCTGTGACACTGTAGCAATAAAGCAAGGAACACAGGTTTAGCAAAGGAGTTTTGTAATTATTTAATTAAGTCCAACTGCAGATGAATGTTATTCGTTTTTGTTTTTGAAAGGTGGTGGTGGTTAGGGAAAATTGATGTACCAATTTGCTACCCAACACAAGTTTCTTTACCAAAGATACTTTTACTCTTGAAAGCACTTGAGAGTTATGAATCTTTGGAAAATAACACAGTCCTGAATGCAGTCCTCCTGCTCTGATCTCATCCCTCCTGTGGGTTGGTTAGCGGCCAGTCAGACTTCCCTATCTTCCCTCTCCTTAGTCTGGTCCACTTGCATATGTTCCCCATTGTTGCATGAGCACAATGTTCTTAATAGACCAACCTTGTTGGGATTAACATGGTTTTTAACCCCCATGTGGGTATTTCAGTCCAGTCTGGACATTTCACTGCAAAGTGAAAGCCTCAATGATTATTACAATCACAAAATGGCATTCACAAAAACAAAATGAAGGTCTCAAGACAACATAGGTTTCCTAGTTAGTCCCAGACATGCTCCCAGTCTGCAACAGCCCCCACAAACAAGGCACAGTGACAGCACTTTAAATGAGCACAGTCTCCTGCTTTTCCGCGTCCCAGGCATTGGTAAGGAAAGGATGAGCGAGTCACCTAGGATTTCTAACAAGACCAGGGTGCAGTCCTTGGACTCAGTTTGTGGTGACGGGACAGCCTCCGGGTAGATTTCTGAGTTAATCTGAAGCACCACTCCCATCTAACCACCTGAAAAGAAAACTAGAATAATCTGCCGGGCTGCAATGGGGTATATCAACCCCGCACTGAAGAGCAGGGAGTGGGCGGGACCCCGCTGGCTGAAAAACCTACTCCCCCACAGCCTGGCTGGGCATGTTCCCAGTGGAACCAGACCATAAAAGGCCCTGGGGCAGCTCTAAAGGGGTAGTCCTGGAGAGAAAGAGTGACCAGACCTTCCAGCGGCAGCCAGGCTGGGAGGTGCTACCTGCAGGGCTATTGGATCACGGAGAGATGACGGACCCCAGTAGGAAGTAGCCATGGGGTGGGGAGCTTCCTTGGAGAGCTCAGCATGTTGTGGCAGGATTCCCCACTGAGTGAGACAGCGGCCCCAGCTGCTGCCTCCAGGGCCCTAGGCTGGACCCTGGTGGAGTGTGAAGGCCTGGGTCCCCCTACCCCCTCCTTAGCTGTCTCGAGGGAGCAAACTGTGCCTATAAGCCTGTGAACTAGGCCGCAAGGCCATATTGACCCTGCTATAAGTGCCCATGTGTGAACTTGGGCCTATGGGCCATATTATTCCTAGTAAGAGAGGATTGAGGAATGGACTGTGGCAGCCAGGACATATTAAACCGGCCATAAGGGCCCATGTGTGGACTTTGGCCTCTGGACCATATTACCCTTAGTAGGAAGGGATTGAGGAATGAACGCTGGCTGCAAGGCTGTATTAACCCAGCTATAAGGACCTGTGTGTGGACTTTGGCCATGGGGCTGTATTGGGATGCATGTAGGGACCCCAGCAGGTAGGCCACCAGAGGGACTAAGCTCGAGGGTCCTCCCAGAGTAGGTTGCCCCTCGACATCCCCCATAAAAATCTCCTGTATTGAAAGAACTTCCACTGTACTGTCCCCTTCCAGAGCCTCCTAGCAACACAGTGACAAGGAGAAAAGAGGTTAGTGCAGCTTTACTCCCCTTTCTGCTATCCTCTAACCCCAACTTCCTTTAAAGAGAAAGAGACAGGAAATGAGTAGGTGATAAGTTACTGCATTTTTCAGCGGCTTTGACTTAGGAGGGGACCAAGTTTTATTCTGAGTTGACTAGAAAGAGGAACTTTTGAACTACTGGTTGGACTTTTCTTTGTTCTACATCTGAATGATGTAGCATCTTCCACTGCTCCTCTCTCTACTTCATGTAGTGAATTCAGTTCACCCACGATTCTTTTTCAGTGTATGCTTCAAATGCAGGTAACCCTTTATCATCCAGTTAGAGAGAGGATAGCAAATGTTAGGATGAACACAGCAGATGGTAGTGCTCATGTGCTTCAGCACTGGCAAAGAAGGAAAATACAGTTTCTAAGAGTGAATGAAGTGTAAAGATATCTGCTGTGACTAGGGATGTAAGCAACTAGTCGAGGGAAACCTGAGAACCAGCTGTCCTGGGGGGGTCCCTTTAATCACAGGCCTCACATATCCTCAGGCAGCAGCCATACAAGGTAACTCCTGACCTGATGCCCCGCCAGAACCAGTTCCAGCCAGCCTTAAATGCGATTCAGCATCCTATCAGTATGGACATGCAAAACTGTATTTCGAATTGCATTTTGTGTCGAGACGCATTATTTCAAAATAAGCTGGAACGAGGAGTAATGGTAGTTCAGATTAGGAGGAGGCCTGGCGAGGAAGCGGCTGGAAGGTGGTGCCACGATCGGTTCAGATTAGGCTGGAACGAGGAGTAATGGTAGTTCAGATTAGAGAGCCTAATCCGAACTACCTACTCCGTGCCGCGTGTAGCCGCGGGCATGGAGTCCGAACTACCAGGGCTTTAGAAATGGCGGCGCCCGGCAAGATGCAAATGAAGCCTGGGATATTTAAATCCCGGGCTTCATTTGCAACTTCAGTTGCCTACATTAACCACCCTACTTCGAACTAAGGTGGTAGTGTAGACATACCCTTGACTAGTTGCTCCCTCCCTCCCCCTCCCACCTGCCTCTATCAGCTATCCCAGGTCCCTCCTGCAGCACTTTAGCCTTTTAAATGTATTAAGGACCAAAAGGCTTTTAATACATTTAAAAGATTGGTACGCAGCTGGGGAGACCCGGTGCAAGCTGGGAATCAGCTACTTCCCAGCTCACGCTCAGTCGCAGATGCTGGACCTCTGCTTTTTAAATGTATTAAGAGCCTACTGGCTCTTAATATATTTAAAAATCAGAAGGGCAGCAGAGGGGACCTGGCAAGAGCCAGGACAGCTCATTCCCAGCTCATGCCAGGTCCTGCCCCGCTACCCAAACAGGCTCTTAATACATTTAAAAGACAGAGCTGCAGCGAGGTGGGAGCTAATCCCTCTACAACTCCCCCGATTGACTAATCGACTAGTCAATGGAATTAGTTGACTAAACTAAATTCAACATCCCTACCTGTGACTATGAAGGAAGTGGCAAACAAGGATTTTGTCAGAGTCTCTGAAGGTAAATAAAGAATATGCAATGAATTGAAGACTGTTTCAGTCGGAGTATCTATGGTGTTTGAAGTTCTGATTGCTAGGTATGCAACACAACTGTAAATATTCAGGAAAGAAAATGTCAATATCACCTGCCTTTGATTTAAATAAATGTAAAACAAAGTGGGTACTAATCTATTGGTTCATGCTGTCTCTACTTTAAATGGCTTATAAAAAAATTTATTTCTCTGATGATGAAATAACTCCTTAAATAAATGTATTTGCTTGAGCCATGCTTATTAAGGACTTTGTTTTATATGACTTATATGCCATGTACCGGTCTACTAATTTGTGAATAATTTTTTATCACTTTGTTTCCAGCTGTTGTAAAAAGCTCATCTAATCACTATTTGTGGCTGAAGCTTAAAAGTACACAAGTTCAGTATTCCCCAGTCTAGGGTGAAGTACATTCTGTTGGATAGGACTATGACCAGACTTAACTAATGTTTAGCTTGTCAGGCAGCCCTGTTTAACCATTAGGGTTAAAAGAGGTAACACAAGGCAGCTGGTGGCTTGGCTGAGGGTAATAAAATAGAGAAGAGGACATGAAACCTGGGGAAGGAAGGAAGGAAGCAAAGAGCAAAAAGCCCTCTAAAGAACAGGCTAGGTAGGAGGAGGAAAGAAAAGAGTAAAGGGAGATGAGGAATCACACAAAGGTGACATAGTATAGTTGCTTGGAGGCAGGGAATGCCCAGGTGCCAATCCATTATGAGATGTAACTCTGACTAAAAAAAAAAAAAGCTAGGAACAGCTGCTGTACTTGGCTCTTGTTGACAAAATAAATTCAGATCCACAGTTAATGTCTGAAATACTTATTCTTCTTCAAGTGATTGCTCTTGTGCATTCCAATATGTGTATGCGCATGCTGCCTGCACAGTTGCTGGTAGACTTTCACCTTTGGGTTGGCTGTAGCACCCTTGGTGTATCCTCATAGGTCATTTATATATCCCTGCTGACCCAGCTCCTGTTTCAATTCCTTCTTTCCACCAGTGACAGTTGTTAGCGCTTCTGACTTCTTGCTTAGCAAGTCATTCCTTCGTAGTGCGTAGAGTTCTTTGTTGTGTAGATAATTATTATCGGTTAGACAGTTAAAAACGAGTTGTCCTGTAGAACCTTAGAGACTAACAAAATATATAATATAGTATCATGAGCTTTCGTGGGCAAAACTCACTTCCTCAGATGAGCCTTCTGGGTTGCGCTCTCTTCTCCCTTGCGTCAGGAGACCATTGCCCTATGGGACTTGTGCATCTCCTATGACATCCACCTGCTGGCCCCATGCCTTCCAGGGGAGCAGAATGACCTTGTGGATTGCTTCAACCTATCATTTCAGTCCCACAAGTGGACTCTTTGGATGGTTGTTGCTTGCTCCATCTTCCATGAGTGGGGTTGTCCCCAGGTGGACCTGTTTGTGATCCATCTCTACAGGAAGTGCCAGTGATTCTGCTCCTTCCAGGGGCATGGCAGGGGGTCACTATCAGATGCTTTCCACTTCACATGGATGGAGCAGTTACTCTACATGTTCCCACCGATGCCACTTATACCCAGGGTCCTCCTCAAAATTTGATAGGACAAAGTATCTGTCATCCTGATCACACCAGCATGGCTGAGGCAGCATGAGTCCATAATGTTCCTGTTCCTATTGGTGGCCAGGTCCATAACACTTCACCTGGTGCAAGATCTGCTGACCCAGGAGTTCAGCAGAATATGGCACCTGAACTTGGAGTCACTGCACCTCACGGTGTGGATGCACCGTGGCTGAACCACCGGAAGATCCAGTGTTCCAACCCAGTCAGGGAAGAGTCTCATGGGTGGTTGTAAGCCTTCCACTAGGGTGACATTTCTAACTAAATGGAAGCAGTTCTCCCTGTGGTGCCTCTCTAGGAGTACTCCCCTTCAACAGGCCTTAGTCCCACTGCCCCTAGACTACTTCCTTTCCTTAAAGGAGTGGGGTTTAGCCATCTTGTCCATTAAGGTGCATTTGACAGTTATCGTTGCCTTCCACCCGGAGTCTGGACCAGTGTCCTTCTTTAGGACCTGGTAGTGGGTCAGTACCTTGAAGGGTTGGACCGACTCTATCCTCAGGTACGACAGCCTTTGTCCCCTTGGAACCTGAATTTGGTGGTCTTTCGGCTTATGGTCCAGCCCCTTTGTTTGAGCCCCTAGCCACCTATTCTTTAGCTTACCTCTCATGTAAGGTGGCCTTCCTTGTAGTGATTATTTCATCCAGACCGGTGTCAGAGCTACAAGCTCTTACCGCCAACCGCCCCCCCCCGTATAAGGACAAGGTGCATTTGCGACCACATCCTGCTTTTTCTGCCCGAGGTAGTGTGACCTTTCCACATCAATCAGGACATTTTTCTCCCTGTGTTTTTCCCAAAGCCACATACCACAGACAGGGAGGCATGCTCTTGCTTTTATCTGGAGTGTATTAAACCATTCCGGCTGTAGATGCAGTCCACAATGGAAATAAAATGCTGCATGAAGGACCTCCCATTTACATCTCAGCACCTTTCGGTCTGGATCACCATGTGTATCTAACTGTGCTGTGACTTGGCCTGTTTACCAGCCCCGCCTCTCACAGCCCATTTCAGTTAGGCGCAAGCCTTGGTAGCCACCTTTTCAGCACATCTGCAGGGTGGCTACGTGGTCCTCAATGCATACTTTCATACTCATTACGCCCTCACCCAGCAGTTCAGGGCAATACTGCTTTCAGCAACGAGTTGAGGTCCTACCTTCCTCCGTACAAACTGCTTGTAAATCACATATTGGGATGCACATGAGCAAGCACTCGAAGAAGAAGGAACAGTTACTTATGTTTGTAACTATTGTTCGTTGAGATGTGTTGCGTGTGTCCATTCCAGACCCACTCACCTCCCTTCTGTCAGATTGTTCCGGCAAGAAGGAACTGAAGCATGAGGTTGGTTTGGCAATGGTATATATACAACCCCCTGAGGCATCTCCACAGGGGTGCCACAGCTGATCCAATGGGTATCCCTAGGGGAATGTCTTCCAACAATCATGTACACAGCGCGCGTGCACACATCTTGAAGAATAACAGTTACAAAAGTAAATTAACTGTTCTAGCCGTCTGCATTAGATTGGTCTCAAGTGCATACTTCAGTAAGCCAACTCTTCCTTTCTCTTCTCTGTGTGTCAGAAGGCTTTTTCAGGATCAAATACACTGTAGTTTATAATCTTCCAAGTAATGGCAGCATCTTCAGTTAGTCTAATTCAGCTATTGTTTTTGTGAAGCATACATAGCCTTTGTACCAAATTTTCTGTTTTCTGTATTTCAAAACCTAAGGTGTGTAAAATACTCTAAGAAAGTAGCTCTTCAGACTCACCTGATCACCACTTGATTTCAGATGCTTTTTTAAATCCAGCAATTTATTTTTTAACAAATACAGTTTTTATTCTTACCGTTCACCAATGGTTCTACTGTCTCTGCATCTTTTGCATTCTCCTGGCTTTGTGTAGAGATGATGGAGAGAAATGTATCCTAAAATGATCCATTCTATTTGTATCTGTCTCTAGGGGGGCAGATCTTTCCGCTTTAGTGCGTGAAGCTTCAATTTGTGCCTTGAGACAGGAAATGGCCCTACAGAATGGCAAGAGCAATAAAGGTAAGGCAAGCATATACTGTAAATTCTAAATGGAATAGTGCGAAGATGATCAAATGGTGAAAATAGTTAAACTAATTGAAAGTCATAAAGGAAAACTACTTGAATTAGGAGGATATTGGGCCAACCACAACTAGGAGGGAAGGTTTCTGTTGAGAAAAGATATAAAAATAATCCTTGGAATGTTGTTTTTGAGAGAGAGTGGTGAAATACAATAGATGTACTAGAATAGGATTTCCAGTAAAGATGTTGAAGTTAAATTTATTAGAAACCCTGTTTTTGCTTTAAAACATTAGGTAACATTAGAACAGGAGTGGGCAATAATATTTGATGGAGAACCATTCCAAGATTTTTGTAAGCGGTCAAGGGCTGCAGTTTTTTGTGGTGGGTGTATGGGATCTGGGACAGAGTTTAGGTGCAGAAGGGAGCTTCAGGTAAAGGATTGGGATGAGGCGAAGGTGTGAAGGTCTGAAAGGGAGTTTGTTTGAAGGAGTGGTTGTGATCTGGGGCAGGGGATTGGGGTGCAGGAGAGGGTGCAGGGTGGGGAAGGAAGTGTAGGTGCAGGAGAGGATTCTGGCTGGGGGGGTGTAGAAAGGAAGTGCAGGGTTAGGGAGGGAATTGTGACCTGTGAGAGGGAAGATTCAGAGGGTTTGGGTGGTGGCCTGAGGCAGGGAGTTAGGGTGCAGGAGGAGGTGGGACTATAGCAGGCAGGAAGCCTACCTGAGGGTCCTGGCAGGGAGAACCACGGGCCAGATCCAAAGGCTTGGTTGGATGAAACCAGATTTTTCCCTCCCTGTATTAGAAGTTCAAATTTGGGCACATAGTTGCAGACCTTATTTTCCAATATTGAATGCAGTCACTCTGTTTAAGGTACTTTGTGACAGTCACTTGCATGCAGGATAGTCCATTTTGAGAGAGCAAATGTAGTAATTGCACATGTGTAATTGTAAACTTGGCCCAGCAGTTGTTTGATTTTTGAGAGCAAATGAGTGTCCTTTTTGTGCTTGGGAAAGTATTTTTGATTACTGTGCTTTTCCCAGCAAATGGATATGTTTGTGTGCGATCCTCTGTGCAAAGTCCAGTTCTATGACATGCTGTGTGCTCTCAGCCAAAATTGACACGAGGAGCAGAAAAACCAGGCCCAGCCTTAGGGCAAGGTGAGCAAGGCAGTTGCCTTAGCTTCCGCACTGAGCTGAAGTACAGAGAGCTGGAGCTGGTACTGGACAAGCTGGTCACCTGTGTCACTGCCACTGCTGCTCATCTTGCTGGCCTTTGAACAGATCTCCACAGGTATCTGCTCGGCAAGCCTGGTGCCCTGCCACTGCCACTGCTGGGGTCTGCCTGCCTCGCCCTGCAGTTTTCTGGGCTCCAGCCTGGCTACATTGGCACAGCTGCAGGTACTGGCTTGACCTGCGTGTGTGTTAACAGTTCTAGGCTGTGTTTGGTCCTAGTGAGCTGGGATGTAGACCCGAGCTGCTCGCCTTTCTTCCTGTCTGCCGCACATTGTGTTTTATCTGTATGGAGGGGAGAGTCACACAGCTCAGCAGAGAATCTGACCTGGCTAGTGTGTTGTGGAATATATCCAGTGAGCGACTTGTGCTGCCTGGGCAAACTCTGTAATCCCTCAACTGGGTTTGACTTAAACTAGAACATCCACCGGCCAGGTTCCATTGTCAGGTGCCATCTTGGACCCTGCAAACTCTTTGCCAGGCCTGAGGTTAACTTTCATCTCTCACTGGTTCTGGCCAAATAAAAATGTGAATTGTTCAGAATACAAATAGAAGAGCTGTTATTAAAGGGACACCATCAATAGAAATGTTGGTATCTCAACAGTGAGTTAAGGTGCAAATACCTCACCTGCCCATAAATCCTGCTACCAATTTTTATGGTTTTAAAGTAACATTTTTCTAGTTTAAGAAAATATTTTTCTCTCTTGTGCTTCTGTGCGATCCCACACAAACAGGGAAAACTAATTGGGCTGAAGAGGAAAACTGAAATTTATTGTACAGGCAGTCCTCGGGTTACGTACAAGATAGGGACTGTAGGTTTGTTCTTAATTTGAATCTGTATGTAAGTCGGAACTGGCGTCCAGATTCAGCCGCTGCTGAAACTGACCGCCAGTTCTGACTTACATA